TATCTCTGTCTATCCCTATATCTGTAGTCTCAGGTAGTTTGCTACAACTATAAGTTACAAATGTTCCTCTGTATAGATTTAGCTCTGGAAAGAACCATAGTTTTCATTTTACAGAAGATGAAAATTGAGACCCAAAAAAGGTTAAGTGACTTACCCAAGGTCACACAAGTAAGAATTGAACCCAAGTCTTCCAAATCCAGTCAGTATTCTTTCCACTATACCAAATTGATTTTTTTTAAAAAAGTGACAATAATATCTGCACTACCCATTTCACAGGACTCAGTAAAGAAAGTCCATTGTGGGATTATACAACTATAAGACATTATCATGACTACAATGACCACCTTCCCTTTACTCCTGCTATCTATCTTATTTCTAACTATTCTTCATGATCCACCTAGTTAGTAGCCCTAACTCACCTGTAGCTAGTGTGTAATAGACACTCCACTTAGGGTCAAGGGATTTGGGCTCTAGTTTTTCCTCCAATGTTATAGCTTGGGCACTTGATTTAATCTTTCTAGACTTCAACTGCACTCTCAGTAAAATGAGGCATGGCCTTCTTTGCCTGAAGCAGATGAGTCAGAGCTCCCATTTCTATGCAGTATTTCTCCTTCAGCCTGCCTGGGCAAGCCCAACCAGGAGCACCCTCTTCCTCTTTTGAATTCCTCCAGCACTTCCCTTCTGAATGGATCAATATTCTTAGTTTTCACTCAACTCCAATTGCAATGGTTTGGCCACACAAATCGTAAATTCCTTAGAGTGCCTAACACAGATTTCCCCACCAGCTCCTAGCACTTCCAATGTAAGAAACAAGGACTCCCGGCTTCCCTTCCAGGGCAGCCTACCCAGACCCTCCCATTAAGAGTCATAATTGGGGCAGATAGGTGGTGCAGTGGATAGAGCACCTGCCCTGAAGTCAGGAGGACCTGAGTTCAAATCCGGCCTCAGACTAAACATTTGACACTTACTAGCTATGTGACCCTGGGCAAGTCACTTAAGCCCAATTGCCTAAAAAACAAAAACAAAAAAACAGTCATAATTGCTGCCTCTTCCTAAGTGAGGACTTCTTCAGATTCTATCCAGCCACCCTATCAGATGGACAAAGCAAAAGAGGCCTGCATATTTGCTACAACTACAATGCAGTGTACCCTCTATGTTATGTCACTGCTAGTTATGCAAGAAACAAAACAATCATTTCAAGAAAAAGTGACTAAAGGAAGAGTACCCTCTAAGACATTGAACAACCATCTCTCAAGTTTACAAACCACAAATCCCAGAAACCAAGCCCTTAATCCTTTCATGCCTAGAACTCCTAAGCAGGGGCCATATATATTGACTGGTGGTTGCCTTGATATCCCACTACTCATAAGCCTAGGCTAGTGGCACATTCACTTCATTTCATTCCATGGTTATTTGCTCTCCAGCCACTTTGGCCTCTTCTCCCCCTTCCTCCCTTCCTCCTCTCACTGTTCCAGTTCCAAAATCTTATCCAATAAAGATCTCTCCCCTGTGGCTTCACTCACTGTCCCAGTAACTTTGCAAACCAAAATATACCTTACTGTTGATCATTTCCCATACTTGATGCCTTCCCCTATTAAAAGGTATGCTCCTTCAGTGGATAGAGCACTGGCCGGGGAGTCAGGAGGAGCTGAGTTCAAATTCGGCCTCAGACACATAACACTCACCAGCTGTGTGACTCTGGGCAATCACTTAACCCCAATTGCCTCAAAAAAAAAAAAGTAAGCTCTTGAAGGAAGGAACTGTCATTGTAGCACTTAACACAGTGCCATCACAGAGTAAGTACTAAATAAAAGCTTTTTTAGTCATTCCTACCACAGGTAAAGAACTCATCTTTTTTTTTTAATCTTTCTTTGCATTTACACTTTCAATTCACCCTATATTTTCTTCTCTTTTCCCTAGGTTATTCATGCAGTAGTTTTAAAATGTGTGTAAATATTATCACCATCTAAAATTTTTTCAATTATTTTTTGTTTTCAAATATTCATTTCTTTTTCTTCCTCCTCTCACCTCCTTCCAGCCACTAAAAGGAAGGAAGAAAGGAAGGAGGAGAAAAGGCATGAAGAAAGGAAGGGAGGGAAGGAAAGAGGGAAGAAAGGAAGGAAGCAATGAAGGGAAAGCCAAGTCAACAAGCAGTTATTAAGTCTTACCATGTGCTAGGTACTGTGTCAAGCATCAAGAACACAAATACAAGCAGAAAGAAAGCTAATCCTTGCTTTAGGAGTTTATAGTCCAATGAGGAAAGACTATACATTAAAGGAAGCTGAAAAGGGAAAGCTGGGAGAAGGTGCCCCCATAGGGGAATGGTACAGAAAGTCTAAAAAGTCAGGGGGAGAGCCTGGAAAGGAATGCAGACATATCTGGCTTGGACATTGTCCTTAACATGGAGGTTCTAGGAGGAACTAGCCAATCAGAAAGGTCCACAGGAGCAGAGTGTACTTCCACCGTGAAAAGTTTAGGATGCAGTGAATTTCCAGGGCAAGGAGGCTTCTGTGGCATGGTAGAGAAAGTCTGGAGATTTATAAGAGTAGAGCCTAGAAAAAGAGAGAGTAAAAAGAAGGAGTGAGAGAAGAGAGAGGGAGAGAAAGAGAGAAACAGAGAAAAGAGAGCACTCTATCACATAAGCATAGTCAAGCAAAATATATTCCCACACAGGTCACATCAAAAAACCTATTTCTTAAAATAATTTTTAAAAAATTCTTCCAAATAAAAAAATGTTTAATTAAAACTTTTAATTTTATTCTACGTAATAGCCAATCATCTGCCTGTCATGAAGTAGGCATCTTCCTTCTTTATCAGTCCTCTGGAATCATGATTATCATTTAATTGATCAGAAAAAGAAAATGACAAATGTTGGAGGGGCTGCAGAAAAATGGGCTAGTTGGTAAAACTGTAAGTCCAACCATTCTAGAAGGCAATTTTGAATTATGCACAAAAAGTTGCTAAATAGTGCATGGCATTTGACTTACCTGTCATTGCTGGGTCTATAACCCCAATAAGATAAAACACTTTACAAATATTATTTCATTTGGTACTTAGAACAACCTAGGAAGTAGGTGCTATTATTATCCCCATTTTACAACTGAGGAAACTGAGGCAAACAGAGGTTAAGTGACTTGCCCAGTGTCCATTCTGTCACCTAGCTGCCTCAGTAGCTATCGATTATATCCAGGATAAAATATAAAGTCTTCTATTTGGGATGTAAAGCTTTCTCAATCTGGTCCTTTCCTACCTTTCTATTACTCGTAATGCTTTACTCCCCTTCACACACTGTCCTGCTTTTTCTAGAATATGACATCTTCCAGCTCCCTACCTTTGAACTGTCTGTGCCTCACCAGCACCAGATGGTTGTTGTTCCCAACTCCTAGCTTCCCAGCCCTCCTTCAAGAGAGCTCAAATCCCAGTTTCTACAGAATGCTTTTCCCAGTCCCTGCTGCTGCTAGTGCTTTCCTTCTAAGATGTTTTGTTGTTGTTGTTGTTATTGTTCAGTTGTTTTCAGTCGTGTCTGACTCTTTGTGACACCATTTGGGGTTTTCTTAGCAAAATTCTGGAGTGGTTTGCTATTTCCTTCTCCAGCTCATTTTACAGATGAGGAAACCAAGCAAACAGGGTTAAGGGACTTGCCCAGGGCCACATGGCTAGTAAGCCTCTGAGGCTGAATTTGAACTCAGGTCTTCTTGTTTTGTTCTTTTTTTTTGGGGGGGGGTTAAGTGACTTGTCCAAGGCCACATAGCTAGTAAGTGTCAAGTGTTTGGTCTGAGGCCGAATCTGAACTCAGGTCCTCCTGACTTCAGGGCCGGTGCTCTATCCACTGCACCACCAAGCTGCCCTTCTTCTGAGATTACCTTCATAATATGGCTTTTGCGTAACTGTACACATACATAAAAATATCTTATCTATAAGTAGTTATTTACATTGTCTCCGCTGTTAGAATGGGAGCTCCTTGAGGGCAGAGACAGCAAGTTTTCCTTTCTATGTATCCCCAGGGCTTAGTACAGTGACTGGCACCCGGTGAGTACTTAATAAAAGCCCGCTGATTAATTCCAGAGGCGCTGATCTGGTACAGGTATTGCTATTCCCATTTTAGAAGAGGAAATCGTGGCTCATCAATTTTTAAGGGACTTGCCTAAAGTCACACAGTTATTAAGTGTCAGAGATCATGATTTAAATCCAGCTCCAAGTCTGGCACCCTTATCTTTCCCCTGGCACAGCAAGTGTTCCGTTCAGCACTTGGGGCAGAAAACACTGCCATTTTGCGGTTTGTCTGAGCAGTGTTCCGGGCCTTCGAAGAAGACATTTTCTTTCACCCAATGAGTCATTCTTCTCCAGGAGATAGATTGTAAAAATCCTGGGGAAGTTGCCCCCTCCCCCATGAAGCATACGTGAGTAGGTATGGGGTGGAGAATGGGAAGTGGGAGAGAAAGAGTTGAGGAGTGAGTCAAGATGCTCTGAAATCACGACTGGGAGTTGGGCTGCTGTTCCCTCCCTCAGAAGTCCCCTAAAAAAGACGCCTGACTCGATCCCGCTAAGCAGAGCCCCCTTCCACTGGAGAATCATAGATCTACAACTGTAAGGGACTTGCGACATTATTTAGCTCCACCCTTTCATTTTACAAGTGAGGAAACTAAAGCCCAGACGGAGCTCCAAACCCCGTGTTCTTTCCAAGAAGCCACGAAGCCTTCTCCACTTGGAGTCACGAGAGTGACCACTCTCCTCTTCCCATGTTCCCCCCAAAGGCGGCCAGGTTTTCAGTCACGTCTGTCTGGGCCACCAGTTTCCTCAGCTAGCCCGTGGCCCGTTATGCCTGGACTTGCCCTGGAGACACGCGGTAGAGAGAAAGGGAAACAATTCCGGGCATTTCCAGCTAGCCCGGCACCTCCTTCCCCTCCGTCTAACGTCCTACGTTATGGACACGGGTGATCCTTTGCCCCACGCTCGCGCTGCCCAAGGAAGGGAGGAAGGGCGAGGGTTAGTTGACTCACCAAGCACAGGAACAAATAAGTGAGATCTTTCAAGGGGACCGGGCATGGCGTAGCCGTGGCGTAGCCCATCCCCCTGGAATGAAGCTTTACCAGGGCCTCCCGGTGATGCGAGCCCGACCACGTCCGGTTCTGTCCAAGTGAGCAGCCTTTGCCCCACTCGCGTTCGGCAGAGCAGCCTGCGCCCCAGTTGTGTAAGGCCGAGTAGCCTGCGCCCCACTCCCGTTCGGCAAAGCAGCCTGCGCCCGACTTGTGCAAGGCAGAGAGCAGCCTGCGCCCCACTTATGTAAAGTAGCCTGCGTCCCACTAGTCTCAGAAGAGCGAAGCAGAAGACCTGCCGCCTTACAGAGTAAGAAAGAGTAGCCCGCAAGCAGCGCTAGTATCCAACACTAGCCAAGTCCCCGAAGTAGGAGGGGTGTGGGTGGGCAGAAGAAAGAGCTTCACAGTCATTGGTCCTGAACACAGGTGGGGGGAGGGGTTCTGTGGGAATTCCCTAGGTGGCGGAAGAATCTGTGGGAAACTTTAGTGTAAGTTTACTTTCTGAGATACAAGGAAAGTTAGCGAAAGGATTTAGAATTTGACAGGTGGGAGATAACTCGGCCCAGAATGGAGCACAGAGATTTGGAGCCGCAAAGTATTTGTGCTTACAAAATATGTTTGTCGTATATAGGGAGGATGCCATGTAAAGAAAACACAGCCAAGAAAACAACGTATGGTTGTTGTGCTTCTTTCTGGAGGAGGACCAAAATGGGATCAAGGTACAGTGTATCTGACTGTGGCTGATCAGACCGATAGGAGCTTGGAAGTATACTGCCAAAATAAGTGAATTTATCCACAGCATTCAAAATTCCTCCATTTGGTGCTGGTTTTACATTTGGATGTGTGGTGCTGGCTGGTGGAGCACCTGTGTTTTCTTGGTGTTAACTGTTAAGCCAAAATTAGCACAAGCAGCAGAGAATCAATCCATACTCTGTTGCACCCCAGCCTCAGAGGCTATGTTGAATGCACAATCATGTGCAAACACAAAATCACGCACCAATGCTCTCTCCATTTTAGTCTTGACTTGTACCTTTTTCAAGTTAAATAATTTACCATCAGTGTGGTGGCTGGCCTTAATGGCATTTTTGTCCTAGTTGAAGGCAGCTGACAACGACACTGAAAACATTATGCTAAAAAGCATGGGAGCAAGCATACATCCCTGCTTCACTCCATTGATGATTGGGAAAGCTAAAGAGCATCATCCATTATCTAGAACCTGTGCAAATGTGCAATCATAGAACTGATGTGCAAGACTGATGAACTTGTCCAGGCAACCAAATTTTGCCATGATCTTCCACAAGCCCTCATGTTTGACAGTATCAAAGACCTTGGTCAGGTTGACAAGTGTTGTATACAGTCCCCTTTTCTGCTCCTGGTGTTTCTCCTGGAGTTGTCGGGCAGCAAACACTATACTGACTGTTCCTCAGCCTTTCTGAAGCCACGCTGGCTCTTGGGTAGATGACCATCTTTCAGGTGAAAAATCAGCCTATTAAAAAGGACTCAGGAAAGAATCTTGCTGGCAATGACTAAGAGAGAGAACCCCCTGGGATTGTCACAGGACAACCTATTTCCTTTTCCTTTAAAGAGATGGACAGTGGAGGCATCCTTGAACCCCTGAGGGATAGCCTCCTCTTGCCACATAACCTGCACAATTTCAGTCGGCTTTTCTATGAACAGTGGACCACCTGCCTTGTAAATTTTAATTGGAAAAGAATCAGCACCAGATACTTTGCCACATAAGAGGAGCCTAATGACATTCAAAATTTCTTCAGTTGGACGTTTGACTAGAGAAGGATTGCTTTAACCAGACGTAAACAATCAATGGCTTCAACACTGGTTGATGACAGACTGTTGAGAACACTGTGGAATTGTTCAGCCCATCTCTCCAGGATCAAATCCTTATCACTAATCAATGTGGTTCCATCAGCACTGAGAAGTTGATCTTTGGTCCATAAACAGCTGTTCAGGGTATCATAAAAAACACTTTGGATTGTTACTGTCAGCATAAAACTGATTTTCTTCTTCTTTCTTACCAAGCCAAGAATCCTGAATCTTTCTAAACTTTGCTTGCACTTTTCTTTTGATGGAGTTAAATGCTGTCTTCTTAGAGATAGATGAACTATCCTACTGGTAGACCCTGTGAAGTTCTTGTTTTTCATTTAGTAACTTCTGGTTTTCCCCATCATTTTAATCAAACATTACCTCTGTTCATGAGTGTGCTTGCACAGATGAGTAATTACAGTGCTGTACAACAAATCTCTGAAACCTGTGCACTTCTTTTCTGCTCCACTGTTGCCTTCTGTGTGTTGGCTTATCTTTCCCTCCTAGTCATCAACAAACTATTCTTGTTGGGAGAAGTGCTCTGAACTGTTGACATGAAGTCTTCTGGTAGTCATCTTGCAGTGGGGCCACCACTTTTGTTAAATGCAAATGTTTAGCCTGGAGAAGATGTCTACATCCAGCGCTCTGCACTACACATCACCTTTGTCACTCTCACATCCTGTCTCTCTCTTCTCCTTACAATGATGTAATTTATTAAATGTCAATATTTGCTCCAAGGTGCATCTATCAAGCTTTATTATGTTTAGGTAAATGGTAGAGTACTGGTGATGAGAAGGTCATGAGATGCACAAGTTTTCAGTAGTAAGTGACCACTGTTGTTGTTGTTTCCAACTTCATTCCTCCCAAGGATTCCCTGCTATGTCGGATAGTCTGTGCCTATTCTAGCATTAAAGTCATCCAGAATTATAAGCTTATCCTCTTTTGGCACATTGATGATGAGGATTTTCAGATTTTCATACAATTTTTCTTTGATCTCATAAGAGTTCATCATGGTGGAATCACACATACTGATGATGGTGGCATGACACTTTCCTGCAAGTGGCAATCACATTGTCATGATCCTGCCATTCACTCCTTTTGAGAAGCACACAAGCTTATTGACTAGATTTCATTTGATTTGATTCTGAAACCTATGCCAGCTTCACGGTGGCCACTCCAGAAAAACTGAATGTGGCTCTGACTTTGGTAAACTTGCCTTCATTGGCCAGCTTTGTTTCCCTCAAGGCTATTTTTTTTGGTTACCATACCTGCTGAGTTCTCTCACAACAAGAACTGTTTGACTTTCAGGTCTACTGCAATTCATGTTGTCTATAAGTATACCAATGGTGTGCGGAAGCATCTTTGCAAAAGTTTTTGTACATTTGTGTGTGTGTGTGTGTGTGTGTGTGTTTCAACCACAAGGTAGGATCCCCACCTGATGCAGGAAGCAAGCCTTCCTCATTCCAGGAGGTGAGCAGTGTGGTCCTTGGAAGAGGCTGCTCCCACACCCAGGGGGCAGCCAAACCCCACCGTTACTTCAGTCCAGTGAGATGATAACCCTTTCACTTGGGCCATTTGAGTGCAAGGCTGTGACTACAACTCCCGGTGTATCTACACCTGCTGTATCATCACTTGCTCATTGCCACAGGACTTTGAGGTAGGTAAAGATGGTATGAGTGACGTCTTTTAACTTGGCGTATAAATTGGATTCAAGTGAAGCAGAGTCGCACCAAATCGTTGACCTCACTGTCTCTTCCAGAGTCATCAGAGTCCAATAGCAAGACAAAAGTCAAGATAACTAGTGACAGCTTGGGATACAGTGGATGACCTTGGTGTCTTTGATGTCTAACTAAGATCTAAGTGCTCCACACATCTGCTTCCACCAATTTCATGGCCCGTTGGAACAAATTGTTCATATCTGCGTATTCCACTGGGGAAGTCTTCATATGCCTGGGGTAGACAACCCCCTAACTCACTGATTACTCAAGGCCCCTCAATTACCCGCAATGCCTGTCTACTGAAATGATGTGTGGTTGCTGTGCATGCCACAGCCTCTTGGAGCCACAGGTGAGAGTTCGGTGGCAGGTATATACCAAAGATGGAAAGCAGCCCCAAAAAAGTGCTCAGTAGCCCTATACCAGAGCTTCTACTCATAGTCTACTTCATACAGAACACTCATCCACCTGCACACATTAACAGTAGGTGTGGTACTACATTGAGCATCACCTGGGAGAACACTAGAGTGACAACATGACTAACTACATACAGGAAATGACACATACATTTCAGAAGTTCACACATATCCGTAGTATACAGCAGTCAATCAAAAGCAATACACATGGTTAACTAACAAAGTGAAACTAGCTAACTGCAGCAATAATACTATCAATAGGCCTATATATAAAATACAATTTGTAAGCAATAGCATATACAGAAAACAATTAGACATTGCTATAGCATAAATAGAACACGAAAAAAGCCAATTGAGCACCACAGGAAATTAAGAAACAAGCCTATTCAAACATGTGATAATTCATATTGCAACAGTAAACATTAATTTATATGCAAGAGACTTCTTACATGGGCAATCTCAAATATTGTCACCTAGATACATTTGTAACTCTATCTTCAGGTTTCCCCATAACATCATAACTTAGCCTAGGGGCTGGTCTGATAGCCCTAGTTCTCTTGTCTGTGACTGATCTTTCCACTCCTGTACTCGATCTAGTAGTTGATATTGGCTTACCCTTTGTATCATTACTGCCTTGTTTGTCCACACCTGGTCTGGCAGCCAAGTCAGGTGAAGGAGGTAATGTAAGTACTCAGAAGCAGTACATTCCTTAGGTGAAGGAGAGATTGAAAGGGAAAACTGAAAGAGAAAGTACCAACTAGCCACAGCTTCAGCTCAGATCTGTGACAGCAAACAAAAGATATTATGATGCTAGGATACGGTGCCAAAGACTTTCAACTGGGAGACAAGTTCTTTTGAGAAAACTTGGTATTCAAGGGGCTCACCAGTTAGCTGACTTATACATACAAAGTGATCTAAGGACTGGCAACTTGCCTGTTTACAAAACAGCCCCAGAGAATGGAGGGGGCCCTATTAGGATTATTCACCACAATCATGCATTTGGACTCCAACAGTTCTTCCTCTGGATGTGGATATCCATCTTGAGTCTTTTGGAATTGTCTTGGATCATTGTATTGCTGAAAAGAGCTAAGTCAATCATATTTGATCGTTGCACAATGTTACTATGTACAATGTTCTCTTGGTTCTGCTCACTTCACGCTCAGCATCAGTTCATGTAAGTCTTTCTAAGTTTTTCTGAAATCCGCAAGGCAGTTTTAAAAGAAAAACAAATGAATTGCCAGATTTCCCAGTTAGAAGGGATGTAAGGGGCCATCCAGCCCTCTAGCTTTT